GGCAGGCAGAGGGAGAAGCAGGCTTCCTGCAGAGCAGGGAGCCCGATGCGGAACTCGATCCCAGGACCCTGGGATCATGACCTGAGCTGAAGGCAGACACTTAACCGACTGAGCCACCCAGGCATCCCTGGGACTGTTTTCAATTCTTAATCAAGAACACCTTGTGACCAAACATAAGCCACGTGTGCGGCGGCAGGTGTGGTGAGAGGTGCCCATTCCCTGACCAGGACATCTGGGAGCGTTATGAATCTGATCAAGTCAGATTTGGGAATGAGGCCACTGCCTAGAGACCTGACGATAGGTGCAAAGAGCACAGGCGGACGGCCAACAGAGTGGAGGTGGGGCAGGGAGACCTGCTAGGAGGGGCGGGAGGCTGAACGTCCCCGCAGGCCAGGGGAACGAGGGACATTTAGGGGCTGGTCATCAGCACGTGGGAAATGACTGGACATGGTGGCTGGAGCACATGTGCCAAACCCCACAAGCTCAGCGCCCCTTACCGATGCCATGCTTCCTGAACTCCTTCACTACTCCCAGACTTAGAATGTACGCAACCTGCGTGTCAACAGAGAAGTTGGAGGCTAGAATATCTCCGTCCTGAAGGAAAAGTCAGACATAAAGGCATGTTAACGGTTGAGGCTCCTGGGACCACCGCAGGGCACATCCCACCCACGGACTCCCTGACCACAACACATGGGGTGGGGCTGGGGCGGGAGGGGACAGAGCAAAGGATAATGGAGAGTCAGTCCCACAGACACCCACACCCACACGGAAACGACAGGGTGCAGGTCCTTGTGGCACAAATGGCTAAACTAAGGACACACACAGAATGTCGCTCCTCTTGTCAGAATGTCACTCCTCTTGGGGATGTGTGGTGGACCTGACAAGGGTCGAAGGCAGAGCAGTAACGGGGAAGCGACTGTGCCACGTGGACACGTACTGGACACCCAGGACGAGACAAAGTTTGAAAAGGTTTGCCTCAAGGATCCTACGCTGCCCCCAGGTGGTCTCTGAGCAAAGGAAGTGGGGGCCTGAGCGGCCTCACCGCCCTGTGCTGCCCACACCAGGCAGAGCTCCGCCCCACGCCGCCCTGTGCCTGCCTTGCGGTTCTGGAGATGGGAGTTCCGGCCTGGGGGGCTCCCGAATCTGACCACCATGCGAGACGAAGTGGAAGAAAAAACCTCAGCAGGAAGCTGGGACAGAAAGTCACTCTTAAAAGAAACTACCTTCGCCAGAATCTAATTACGGGCAAAATGGGGTATACTTGAGCGGGTCGGGTCTTTCAAAGGGCGATGTTCTTCTTGTACTTTTAAAGAAATAACCTGAAGCTGAGCAGATAGAACCTGCTGCCAGTTGTGAGTGGGTTTTTTCCTGTCCTTGGAGTAAACACCCACATGATAAACACTACTCAGTCGCGAAGATGACCAAAATTACTGGGCAGAATCTTGACCCAAGACAACCACACGGAACAATGTGTCTGTGGCCGTGACCTCTCATTTTATTTTATACTCAGAGCAGAGCTTGCTGATGTAGGGCCACAGACTCTTAGGAGCTCCAACATAGATCTCGGAGAGGTCTGTGAAGCTGGATGAAAAGAAATTATATCTCCATCTTCACTAACCCCTAACTGGAACCTAGCGTGTCCTTCAACCAACCACAGCACCATTAGTAGTTTCTACAAATCACTGATCTTCCCAGAGCCCTTGACAACTTTGGGGGTTCTCAGTATCATTTACACTCCTCCCTACTTTGTGTTTTGGGGTTTTTTAACTCCTCCCTACTTTAAAATGACAGCCTGCAGCTAGGTCTCTTGTTCAATTTGTCTAACTGTATCACCTACACCCAGAAAGAAACCAACTGGGTATGAGTCTCATAATCGGTCTGGGCTGCTAGGAGAAAGGGCCACAGAGCAGGCAGCGTGATTTGGCTGCAAGCCCCCACAGGCCTGTGCAGCGAAAGGGACCACCAACTCCTTGCCACACATACTTACTTCCTTGTGTATCTTGGTCCTACTTTTTATTTCAGCTACTATCATTCCCACGATGGCACCCCTGTAGGTTGCGGCGAGGGAAAAGAACTTCTTGTTGGAGGTGATATCACGATACCATGAGTCTGGGTACCTGAGGAGAACAAACTGAGGTGAACCCCCAAAGGTCAAGCTCAACTAATGTGGGGCTTCACAGTGGAACCACACCCTGCCCACTGTTCCACGGCTGATAAGGAGTCTGTCCACCACTCAGCCTACACCAAAGGGTCTTCTCAAAGCAGTAATCTGTCTAGATGGGACTGGGAATTTCTTAAAAATGTGTGGGTTTTTTTTTTAAGGTTTATTTATTTATTTTGGGCGTGAGGGGCAGAGGGAGAGGGAGAAACTCAAGCAGACTCCGAGTGCGAAGCCCATCGCAGGGCTTGATCTCACGACCCAGAGATCATGACCTGAGCCAAAACCAAGAGTCGGACACTTCACTGACTGAGCCACCTAGGAGCCCCTAGACGGGACTGGGAATTGCTTTTTTTTTTTATACAAAATTTTTTTTTAAAGATTTTATTTATTTGCAGAGAGAGAGACAGCCAGAGAGGGAACACAAGCAGGGGGAGTGGGAGAGGGAAAAGCAGGCTTCCTGCAGAGCAGGGAGCCTGATGCAGGGCTCAATCCCCAGGACCCTGGGATCATGACCTGAGCCGAAGGCAGACACTTAACGACTGAGCCACCCAGGTGCCCCGGGACTGGGAATTTCTGATGGGAAAAATAATTTTACTATCATTTTTTGAGAGATGAGAGAAAAAAAAATCTCTGATGACATTCTCTTGACGAGAGCAGGAAGTAGAGGGACAGCTGGATAGCTGGATGAGTTAAGACTGATGGCCCTTGATAGCCCATAGACCTGGGTGATTTCCAAGAATTCTGTGAGTCTTTCTGAAGACTGGGGGTGTGGGGAGAGCCAAGTTCACAGCTGAGTGGCATTTGAGTTCACTGCACCTCCCTGGGCAGAGATGGGGACAAGGCTTCGAGGGCAGGGTGTGGCTAGGGTTGCTAGGGGCTATTCACCAAGACCCCTCACTCAGGGGAGCAGGAAGAGAACATTTAGTGCAAAGCCCCTGGACAGTAACAAAAGGCAGACTCACCACAGCCAGGAGACATGGTCAGGAGGGCAGGGGCACTCGGGGCCTAGGGTCGTGTGGGCTTGTTTTTTAGCTTGGGGTAGACGTAATAGGTTAGCCTGAGATGCCTTGTTGAGATCAAGAGCTGGGGGAGGGCACCATACCCTCTCGGTGACGTAGCAGACAGGTCCTCTACTCGGCTCTGCTCCACAGCGGCCACTGACCACTCACCAGAAGGTTCTACAGGGCCTGAATATCACCTGCACTCCCTCCCTGGTCCTCCTCACACTACCCCAGAGGGTCAGCTGGCATGGCAGCCACGGCACGGAGCTGCCACCACACAGCCCATGGGACTGCAGTTCATTCCACCATCTTTGGAACCTGAGGCCTCGGCGTAGGAAGCTGTGACGAGAGGCAGGCAGGCCGGGCGCCTCAGGAGGCAGAGGCTACGGCCCCGCGGGACTCTACCGGGTGCAGGCGCCTCAACTGGGTCTTATCCGAGCACATACTGGGCACATACGGGCCCCTCTACGGCCCGTAAAGCCGCCACTGGCCCACATCCCCAGGAGGCTGAGGCACATCCCACCAGAGCCGTGAGGCTCGCCTGTCTCCTCCCTCCCGGCCTGCAACAGATTAAACCACCAGTCTGAGGTCAGGACTCATGGAAATACGAGGCTTGGCAGTATCTAGTTCATTTTTACAAGTTTTTTTTTTAAATAATAAATCCTTGTGATGAGAACTCAGGATTTACTATATGAACAGCTTCCTACATATAACATATACAGCAGTGTTCACTGTAGTTGGCATGTTGTTCATTACACCCCAGTACTTCTTTATCTTATAACTGCCAGTTTGTAAAATAAAAAGCCTGCATCTGGGGCACCTGGGTGGCTCAGTCATTAGGCGTCTGCCTTCGGGTCAGGTCACCCGCATCGGGCTCCCTGCTTGGCGGGAAGCCTGCTTCTCCCTCTCCCACTCCCCCTGCTTGTGTTCCCTCTCTCACTGTGTCTCTCTCTGTCAAATAAACAAATAAAATCTTAAAAAAAAAAAAAAAAGCCAGCATCTATTTTTCCCACTACAAAAGCTGTATGTGCCTATTACGGAAGCAAAACAGACAAAACTCTAACTGCTAATAATCTGCCCACCTCAAACTACTACAAACACCCTGCTACATGGAATATAACCTCATAAGCTTTTATCTTGTACATGTTTTTATTTATTTATTTAAAGATTTTATTTATTTTTTGACAAAGAGAGAGACAGCGAGAGAGGGAACACAAGCAGGGGGAGTGGGAGAGGGAGAAGCAGGCTTCCTGTGGAGCAAGGAGCCTGATGCGGGGCTCAATCCCAGGACCCTGGGATCATGACCTGAGCCGAAGGCAGACGCTTAACGGCTGAGCCACCCAGGCGCCCCTCTTGTACATGTTTTTAAATAAAAGCAGGATTGAGGGGCGCCTGGGTGGCTCAGTAGATTAGGCGACTGCCTTTGGCTTGGGTCTTGTTGCAAGGGTCCTGGGATCAGGCCCCGCATCGGGCTCCTGCTCAGTGGGGAGCCTGCTTCTCCCTCTCCCTCTGCTTGTGCTCTCCTGCTGTCAAGTAAATAAATAAAATCTTAAAAATAAGTAAATAAATAAATAAAAGCAGGCCTGGGATACACACTGTTTTCTAGTCTACTTTTCCCATTTATTATCTCATTGAAAAAAAATCCTTATCAACAAATACACCTCTTCAACAGATTTCTATCCCCCTGGCTGAATAACAAGCCTTTGCAGGCACATACCCCAATGTATGGAACCAAGTCCTCACTGTTACGATACTTAAGCTGCTTCTCAATTTTCTGAATTCTCAATATCACTGCACTGAACATCTTTTCAACTAAAGACTCTCAGGAAAGGCTTTCTGGGGAACTCTCTGCACGAGGGATGCGGTGAGGTGGAAAGAGGCTGATGGTAGCCAAGGCCCGAGGCCTAGGGTCCAACAGTAGGCAAGGTGACCCTGGGCCACCACGGCACCTCCAGGCCACGCTGGCTGTCACAGCAAGTCTTCTGGCTCCAGCACTGGCACTTACGTGTGTCCCACCCCACCAGGCTCACCCCCCACCCCGCCGAGCTGCAGCTGGGACAGTGGGTGCTGCTCAACTTACTCGATGGGGAACCAGTCGCCGCACAAATGCTTCACGGTGTCTATGTCATCGTGGCAGAGGAGGCGTAGGCTGACCTCGCTGAGGGCGCTGGACGGCACCACCTCTGTCATTCACACCTGCAGGGAGGGAGGCGGCGTCAGGAGGGCAGCCGCTCCCCCTCACCAGCCCACCGGGCACTGTCACTGCACGCTACCTCCTCCTCATGCTAACCTGTGAGGCAGGCAAGACAGGGAAGCTAGTATGGTCCCCCATGGACGGACGTCTCCTCAGTACCCGCATCGAGTGTGTCTGTCTCTCACAACAGCCCCAAGGCACAGGTGGCAGTCGCCCCCACACTGCAGACGAGGAAATGGGGTGCCCCGCCCCAGCCCGGCTCCTCCCCGGCTGGTCTCGCATCTCACTCCCAATGCTGTTTCTCTGTGTTTCTCTGCCGCTGCAGAGAGCACCGGCCCCACTCTGCCCCACATCCCGATGTCTCCCGACCTGGATCCCCCCTGGGGCAGCCTGGTGGGGGGCCACGGTTGGGCTGGATTTCAGCAGAAGTGGCGCTAGCTGGCTAGGCTGCTCCTCCTCCCCCAGCCAGCAGACAAAGACTCATGGGCAGGAAGAGAGACTATGAGACACGCCAAAGTTCAAATCAAGGGTCATGAGTTTTTAATAACTCTTTTATATTTAAAAATATATTATTTATTTATTTATTTTATAAAGGATCCTGCATTCTTATTTTTCTTTCAGCAATCTCCACGCCCAACGTGCGGCTTGAACTCATGACCCTGAGATTGAGAGCGGGGCGGGCGCCCTGCTAACAACTCTTCTACATCAGGAGATTATGTTCAGTCCAGGCTGCTGGAGCAGCCTCTTTGTTTTAGTTGAAGGAAGGCAGGTGGAAAGGCTGGGCTCCCACAAAGCACCTGCACCCCCAGGATTTACTGACTACGAGAAAGCGGAACCTGCCAACCCAGGTCCAGCAGCCCGGCCAGCCCAGCCTCTAACCGCGATGTGAAATACGCTAATCACCCAGGGTTCCACCTAAAATGCTGGGCGCGGACCCAATCAAGCCTCCAGGCCTAAAGGCACACAGGCTTCAGTTCAAGGGCACCATGACGCCCACCAAACACGGAAGGAGGGGCATTCTACAGGACAACTGGCCTGGTTTCTTCAAAAGATCAAGGTCAAGAAAAAAAAAAGAAAAAAAGTAAACTAAAAGAGGCGAGGAGATCTACCACCGATTGTGATGTGTAAACCCCCAATGGGAAAAAGAACAAGTCAAAATAACCTTCTGGGGAAATGTAAACACGGGCTGGACAGCAGATGATGTTACGAAGCTGTTACTGATGGTACTGGACAAGGAAGTGTGTAATTATGTAGGAAGTCTTGGGAGTGAGGCATTGTGAGGTCTGAAACTACATGTTTCAAGACAATACAACTACTTAGGAAGCAAACATGACAAAATGCTATTCACCACTGGATCCAGGTGGCAGATAAAACACAATACAGGAACTTACTGCCCACACATTCAACTTCTGTGCATGTTCGAACTTTTTCATAACAAATGTTGGGGGTAACAGGACCCCAGAGAGGCTGGTCATCACCTACTGACCTGAGCTTAATCCAGAAACCAGTTCTGTGAGTGTGCACCGAGATTATCCCGGCGACACCCAAAGGTCTTGGGGACCCGGATGTTCAGCCCTGACCACTCAGCCAGCCCAAGTAAGTGCCTGTGACAATCCTTCAAGGTCACCTGCTCGGACTGCCCTGGCATCGTTACTGCCTTGTTCCCATGAGACTTCAGGTGTCTCCGGGAGGGTCCTCGGGAAGGTCATGTCCTAATGTGCCAGATGCCAGGGGCTGAAATCCACCTCGAGGCTTGACCACTGGGATGGCGAGGCAGATGCTCAGCCTCTAAGCCCTGGACGCAACCCCAGCAGGCTCTACTCAGCAAGAAGGGTTCCTGTGAGGGCCGCTCGTGGGCTGGCAGCCCCCTAGGACCACGTGGGCTGAGCAGTCAGGAGGTGGGCAGGAGGAGGTGGACGTACTGCAGGAGCTCTGTGGCCACACTGGGTTCTGTCTTTCTAGCACATGCCAAACTCCCAGTGGCGGGGACCATGTCACCTTGACACGTCCCTCTGCACAGCACTGGCTCAACAGCTGAAATGAGCAGGGACCCGCTTTCTCCTCCTCCCTCCATGTTTTCAGCCAAGTGCCTGCACACTGCCTATGTGGGGTCTGCAAGGTGGGGACCCCTCCCGTGGCCTGCCCCACAGCGCAAGGTGCCCTCCCCCGGGGCTCTGAGGGGGACAGAATGGGGTGCTCATCATGACAAGGGTTTGTTCCTGCTTGAGGACTGGTGGGCCCCCATGGGTCCAGGGTCAGGCAGCAGCTGAGGTACCAACTCGACCTTACGAAGGAGCCCTGCTAGAGACCTATCACTTAGAAGGGGACAGAGCTGGTCTCTGGATACAAAATCTTGATGGAACCCCTGAAAGCTAAGCTGACCTAGACAAAAGCGTCTTTCTGGGCAGGGCAGAGACAGCCAGCTGTGCTGACAAAACAAGGGACACAGCCATCACAAAAGTTAAAGTGAGAGGCCTGCTGGGATAGGGTAAGCCCCAGCTGCTGGGCTGTATTTGTTTAAGTTCTTAGTTCCAAACACAAAACAAAACTGAAACACCAACCAAACAACAGAAACTACCCTCAATCTAGGCAAATCTGATCTTCCCATGTTGCTTGGTGTTTCTTCTTTCTTGGGATGCAACTTCAAAAACAAGACCCCGTCCAGCCTGATCTCTGGGTCAACAATAGCTCCACTATTTGGTTCCTGAACAGTGGGGCCGTTCCAGGGCTCAGCACCCCCATCTATGGCCGCCCACTCCGGCCCACGTCCTTGTTGGTATCCAGGATGCGGCCTGTGGCCCAGAACGTGCTGGTGTGACCTTAGGGACCTCATGCCTCTCAAGTGGCCAGCCACCTCTTGGGACATGGGATTGGTCAACCAAAAAATGGCAAGTCCTGAGTTTTATGAGTCATCTCTGTCCAAAATATATCCTAGCAGTCACTGGATAGGATGTGGTTCCCCAGTTAGCCCGAGCCAAGGGCTGTTTTGTCCCACAGAACATGAGTGTATGGGTTAGAGGGGTTCGCCCACCAAGAGCAGGATGGACCCTGGCACTTCACATTCAGGTACAAAGTACTGCTCCCCTGGAGGTTTCTGCACAACACCCAAAGGGAGGGTAACCCTGCCTTCTTCCACAAAAGGGATGGAATCAGACACTGAGCCTGGTCTTGTATCTGGCTCACCCTTCGTTAGCCAGGCTCTGAGTCCCCTCTAAAATAGAGAGGGTCAGGCCCAACAGGACAGTGCTGAGGCTGGAATGAGCTGCTGATGGCAAAGGGCTAGGAACTGAAGAAGAACTGCCCATCAATGTGGGCTGTTGGTGCCCACCAACTGGTGACCAGCATGGTCTGGCTAGTCCAGGGACTAGGCCTTTAACAGTGATGTCCTGGGGCGCTTGTGTGGCTCAGTCGTTAAGCATCTGCCTTCGGCTCAGGTCATGGTCCCAGGGTCCTGGGATTGAGCCCCGCATCGGGCTCCCTATTTGGCGGGAAGCCTGCTTCTCCCTCTCCCACTCCCCCTGCTTGTGTTCCCTCTCTTGCTGTGTCTACATCAAATAAATAAATAAAATCTTAAAAAAAACAAACAAACAGTGATGTCCTAAGTAGTTTTACTCCGATTCCTAACTTAGGTGGTTTTCAGCTGCTGGTTCAGTGTGAAAGGCACCAAACCAGTTCCGGCTCACCTAAACTGGAAGGAGGCCCTGCCCCACAATCCCCTTAGCTGGGTTCTGAATCTACACACAGTTTACCTCTGACACTTTATTTTTTTATTTTATTTTTTTAAAGATTTTATTTATTTGAGAGAGAGCGAGTACACAAGCAGGGGGAGGGGAAGAGGGAGAGGGAGAAGTAGACTCCCTGTTGAGCAGGGAGCCCTACACAGGACTTGATCCCAGGACCCTGAGATCATGACCTGAGTCAAAGGGAGACGCTTAACTGACCAAGCTACTCAGGCACCCCCCCCCACCCTTTTTAAAAAAGATTTTATTTATTTATTTGAGAGAGAGATACCTCTGATATTTTAAAATAAACAGTTCTCTGGCACAACACATGCACAAAAGCAACAACCAAAGGTTTCATTAATCTTGTAAGATATGAGAACAGCATTGTGGTTGTGCAGAAAATGTCCATACTCTTTAGAGATGTACACTGGATATGTAGAAGCAAAATGACATCATATCCTGTAACTTAATTTAGCTGGAGCAAAAGTGCCTAAATGTTAATAATTGTTGAATTGGATGATAGGTATGCCAAATAGGTGTTTGAAAATGTTCCCGGGGCACCAGGGTGGCTCATTTGGCTAAGCGTCTGCCTTCGGCTCAGGTCATGATTCCAGGGTCCTGGGATCGAGTCCCACATCGGGCTCCCTGCTCAGCGGGGAGTCTGCTTCCCCCTCTGCCCCTCCCCCCTCTTGTGCGCTCTCTCTCTCTCTCTCTCTCAAATAAATAAAACCTTAAAAAAAATAAAGTGCATTTCTCAAAAAAAGAAAAGAAAATGCTCCCAATTAAAAACCAACCAACCAACCCCAACCAAACTTTTCCATGGAGGCCGAGTTTCGGGTACAGATGGCAGGTTGGCCAGGTGGCTGACTTCAATGTCTCTGGTGGCCTGCAGCCCGAGCTCCGGAAAGCAGCGCCACACGCTGCAGCAGCCACGGCCCCCTCTGCACACCTGCTCACTGGATGAGTGAGTTCTTGGCAAACCATGGCTGGTTCGCTGATCTGCACTCTGGATCCCAGGTGGGTTAGGCGCCTGGTTCAGAGGGTTATGGGTTCAGGGAATACTGCTCAGGACCTAAGCTAACCAAATCTCAAACTCCACTGATGTTTTAAGGAGCGACAGGACACAGGACACTGTTTTAGGAGCTGGCCTGCTGCCCAAGATGCTAAATATCAACCACAGGGCCAATTTAGGGCAATGCCTCCCCACTTCAGGGCCAAGAAAACTGGGACATGCACGAAGTCCCTGCCAAAACCTGGAGCCTCTGGGTCAAAGTCAACAACCCCACATCATCCAAGGCCAAGCCCTGTCCCTCAGTGCAGTCTTTCCAGAGAAGGCTCCGGGGACAAGCCCCGCCCCCCCCTTGCAACAATCTTCAGGGAAAATCCTAGTGGACAAGCCCAAACACATCACCACCTGCCAATCCAGGTGGCCAAACAGGATGATCTATGAAAATCCTCCTCAGCACCCCAGCAAGGACACACTCCCGCTTCTGAATTGAGCAGGTGGGGGAGTGGGAGTCCACAATTGACTGTCAATGGATGAACAAATCAATAAACTGCAGGGGACATTTAAACCTACACCTGCTACAACGCGGATGAATGCTGAAAACGTGATGTTGAGTGAAAGAAGTCAGACGCAAAAGGCCACGTGTCTTATGATTCTAGTTACATGAAATGTCTAGAACAGGCAAATCCAGAGAAACAGTAAGCGAGTGGTTGCTGGAGGCTGGCTGGATCTGGCGGGGGGGTTGGCTATGCGTGTGAGGTTTCTTTTGGGAGCAGTAAAAATGTCCTGAAACTCAATGTGGTAATGGACACACAGCTGTGTAAATACACTAAAAATGCTGAATGGTACACTCTGTACTGGTGATTTGTATAGCATGTGGATTATATCTCAATAAAGCTGTTAAAAACAAAACAAAACAAAACAAATCCTGACTGAATGTTTCTTTGGTGAACAAATGGATGAAAAAAATTATTTCTGAAGACAGTCACAGTAGATTCCAGAAAGAATCAGAAGCTTTGTAGCCTGCAAATTAACTGCAGGGACCCAGGCTGGTGCCCATGGGGGGCTGGCCTGGACCCTGCCACCTGGGGTGTGGGGGGGTGTACATGCATGCATGTGCATCTGTGCCACCCCCAAAAGGGCCGGGGTGGGGTGGGGGACCCCTGGGAAGACAAGGCTGAAGATCAGGGAGCTTGGCAAAAGACACAGACTCAGAGAAGAGGAAGAACCACCAGCCCACTAAGGCCCACCTGGTAGCTTACTCCAGATTTGGGCCAATTTTAATTATTTCATACTCAAAGGAAAAAATCTGTCGCTGTGTAAGAAGTGATCAGAGGAACTTACCGAGTCTTAGCCAAGAATGTCTGCGCGGTCTATGAGTTTTCACAGGGGAGGCAACTTAAAATGCCTTTGAGAAAGGAAAGATCACAGTCAGACTCCACCCAGCCCCAGCCGAGAAATCAACGCGAACCACAATCACCAGATGAATCTGAAATCAACTTTCGGCTCCAATGTTTGACCTGTGCCAGGAAACTCCATGTCCTCCTCTTTCCAGGAACAGCTCTCTAGACTGTTCATCTGCTGTGAGGCAGGCTCGAGCCAGCCCGAGAAACGGGGTGCCACGACTGCCTGCCCTCGCTGCTCTCTGCAGAGCTCCAGGTGTTTCACTGGCTGTGCCCCACGGTGCTCCTGGTCAACAGCAAATGTGCTCTGAGCTCCCGCGGAAAGGAGGTGCAGGACAGGACACCAACAGCGTGCTCTCAGCACACCCTCCAGCACAGGGGACAGAAGGAGTACAAGCACCCAGCAACATCAGCCAGCAGTCAGGGTCTGGACAGTCTCCGACCTTGGGCATCTGAGGAGCCCGGGAGCAAGGGCTGGGGGTGGGGCACTTCCTGAGGGGACGGAATGTCTCTCTGTAGATGGTGGTGGTGGTTACACACACAGACACACACACACACACACAGATTAAAACTCACTGGATGCGTTTGTCATATGTATACTAAACTTCAATAAAGTTGCTTTTAAAAGTTTTTTAAAAACCCTCTACGTTAAGCCTGATAGCAAAGGGAGAGATCTATAATAAATGAGCATCTCATTCCAGGGATTTATAAATTTTTCCTTAGTATCCCTGGGACAAGGCTCTTGACCAAAGGGACAGGATTTGTTTCCTCTTTGACTTTCAAGACAAACACTGGGCTCCAAGATGCACAGCTATTTGTGGATTCTCACATCCCTATTAAAAGTACTTCCATGTTTCCAAAAGCCTTGATTTTAAAAATAGAAACAAGTCACTTTTAACTAAGGGAAAAATGCAGCATTTATAGTGCCGAGTCTGTTCCAGCCCAGCTGTCAGCGGGCAGAGAAAGGACAGGAAGGCAGGGAAAGGGAGAGCCTGGTGTGTGGGTCCCATAGAAAACACCGGCGTTGGAGGCCCAGTTTACAGAGAGGGTGGCAGCGCACATGAGATGCTGGTGTGGCAAGTGGCCGGTTCACAGACAGGAAGCAGGCCAGGAGACCCACCTCTGGCACCTGTAGGAATCCCCACTTACCCATCGAGAACCTTCCACCATGTGCCAGTCTCCTATTGCTATGGGCTACTCTTAGGGCTTAAGGGACAAGGATCCTGATGATTCACTAGAGAACAGGGGCCAGAGGGTGAAGCCAGAGCACAGCCGCCCCACCTCACCCCCCTCTGGCCTCCTTTCTGAGCCCTTGGGTGCTGGCACTGAAGCCTCAGCACACAAGCCACCTTTCGGGACATTTCCCTACAAAGACACCGACACATCTACACTACAACAGTAGGGGCACGTTGTACAGGGAACCCAAAATTCGTTTAGGCTTTGAAGTTAAAACATGAAGCTGCAAAGGTTCAGGCTTCTATGAGAATTCTTGCCAGGGTTTCCTGGGTCTGCATCCTGCCCTTTGCCTCGGCGGGGGGGGTTGAGTGAAGCAATTCAGGGGGACAGAAACCAGATTCTCCAAGATCCAAATGAAGGGCCTGCCTGCTCACCTGCTCTACCCTTTCTCCTTCCCCGACCTCATCCTCAGGAGGCTGTCTGCAAACCTTGTCTTCTTTCTGTGCTAAAATGACCCCCTGGTCCCTGTACGAAGGCCACTTTTCCCTGAGGACTCCCAGGTGGCAGGAAGGGGTGATGTCTGGACACCTGGGCACTGCCTCCACATGCTCAGCCAGAGGGACAGAGTGAAGTGGCGGAAAAGCCACCAAGACATCCCCAACATCCACAGGAACACCTTCATCTCCTTTGCACTGGCAAGTGCTGGGGATTCAGAATCTGGGGGCTGAGAATGGAATCATTCCACTTCCTGGAGGGGTCTCCCGGCACTGTCATGAGGCCCACAGGGCACTCCACTCCCATCCCAAGTAAGGAGGCTGGAACAACCCTATTCTTGGACACCCCTCCCCTTGTGCCCTGACACCCACAGTCCTGTGGGACACAGGTCCCACAGTCCTTCTTCAAAGGCACTGCTTCTTGGTCTCACACAAGCCACGTTCAACTTTTAAAAACCACCCCATCCTCTTAATGTCTTAGGAGGTGCTCTGGCCTCTCCCCTTGCCCTCATCAGACATCCGGTATTCAGGCCAGCCATGGCCACACTGCACCCTCTATCACTAATAGAACCTTCCCTTCCTTTTCTTCTTTCACTCCCATTGGTTCAAAGGGTCCTTTCTCCTTGCCGAGGTTAGCCATCCTCCACTTAGGCTCTGGGTGCTATGTCCTCCATGTGGTGTCAGACCCTGCAAGGATGCTGGGGTCACTGTGACCACTGAGACATCTGTCCTATAGGCGCTTCTGCTTCTCTGTAGCTGAGAAGATAAAAGGAGATGGCCTTTTCCAAAGGGCCACCCCAATTGCTGGCCCAGCTCCACGTCTCCTCCTGTGCACAGAGCCACTCCTCTGAGTACTGTGTATCCCCCTCTTGCACAGGCCTTCCCGCCACCTGCTTCCCTTCCACACAACTACCTGCACTGCCCCACGTGCCGCCACCTTCCTGCTTTATCCCCTGTGCCCATCGTCGGCCCAGCTTCTGCTCCAGCACACCCACAACAAGGCACCAACAGCTTCCCCTCCCTGGAAGCCAGCAGCCTCCCTCAGGACTCTCCTCCCCAAACCCTCTCAAGCTCACAACTGAGTCCATCCCTTTCTCAAAATCTCAGCTCCCTTCACCCATGATGAAGTCTTTCCCCAAACTCCAGGCTTCTTCTCAGGTGAGGCTCAAGGGAAGATTAGCACACACTCGCCCTCGGCCCAAGAACTAGACGCAGGGCTCTCAGGAACGTGCAATTCTGCAGACACCAGGTTGATCGGCTTGAAAAATCCAACAGTAATGAGCTCTAAGCTCTTGCCTTTAGGATGGATGGGGGACAAAAGGAAAACTAAGCTAGGGATGGATACAGGAGCCTGCCTTTCACAGCAGTAAAGTGGGCTACAGGGCTCCAAGGAGACTGAGGGACACAGCGAGCACTCTTCACAGCTCAGCTGTTCACATGGGCAGCTGCTTGGGGCGGGGAGCAAGCGTCTCCACAGCAGCCTGGGCTCCTTCTAAAACCTCAGTGTAGAAGCAACATGAATAATGTACAAGATGACAAGAAACAAGCACCCGACACTCTGGCTCCAAACAGCCTTCCTCTTAAAACCCACCTCATCATGCTCTGAGGGGAGCCTGTAATTCTCACAGACAATTCTCTTCAAACACGAATTGATGATATTAGAGGACTGCATTTGTAGGACATTCTAAAACTGGCTAAAAGAATCAAAAGTGACAGAAATCGGAAAGCAGATGCAGTGGGGGACACTGAGAAGAGGCAGAAGGCAACTTGCTGGGGCGATGGTGATATGCTGTGTCTCCTTCAATGGTCATCAAACATATGGCTCTGCTTCAGATCTGAGCAGTTGACTGCAGAGTAAACACTAGTCAGGTGCCAAGTTCTCTGCCAGGGGCCGGCGAACTTGGGGTACCTGCACTTGACAGTGGGCCCTCCTTCAGATTCTCGAGGGTGAGAAGGCAAAGACAAAGACCTCCGTGCAGTACAAGGAGGACATCTTGCATTCTGGAGCTCTGCTCTTAAGCTTTACATTGTGCAAGATGACATAGATCTAATTTTGTTTTAAATTTATTTCTCTATTTTGTTTTACTGCACATCCAAGGTACAATGACCAGATGCGGAGGGCATATATTGAGACCACTGTGCACACGTGCCACCTGCAAACCTCGGATCCTCCTTGGGAAGGCATCTGCACTAACACTGGTCAACACAGTCGGAGAGAATCCTCTGGTTGTTCTCAGGACCTTCGTCACAGCGTTGGGGCCGGCGAATTTCCACACAGACAGGGGACTGGACTGTGGGCAGGCAGCCAAAGGGCTCTCTGCCTTTTGTGGCCTTAGCTGGCCACTGTCAGAACTGGAGAAGGAAAGCCCATGTCTGGGGTGAGACAAGGACAAAGAGGAAGATTGGATAATATGAGCTAGGAGAAAAAGGGGACACGGGAACCGGGCGCCAGAAATGTGGAGCCGCGAGCAGGCGCCATGGTCCCCTTGCCGGAATGTTCCAGACGTGTCTCATCTTCCCAGAATAGAACACGAGGGTGCAGATGAGCCCCCACTGCCAGCTCACATGCTGGCGCTGAAAGACACAGAGCGCAAGGGTGTCAGGGCCACAGGGGCGTGGGCTGGTCGGGCCTGAGGATGGCTTGGAGAAGAAGCATGTTTGCCCCTCGGCTTTTTAAGCTGGGATCTTGGTAGGAGGCCACCTGACAAGGTGCACCCAGAATAGAGCTCCAAGTTCAGATCCACTGAGTGGTCAACTAGTTTGGTTTACCAACAAAACTACCTGTAAACAGCCAAATTTTTAGGGGGTGGGAATAAAAACATATGTAATCTGCAGTCCTGACTATCAGCCGAGACTGAACCCTGTCTAGCGCTCAAACTCAGCCAGGAGTGTGTGTTCTCCCACAGAGAACTCTGGCCGCTGCGACCAGCCCTCAGCACTGCTGGGGGCAGAAGGTGACAGGGACCAGGCAGCTACTCACTTTGAAAGGAAAAAGTACAGCAATAGGGGAGTTGGGTTTCAGAGACTCTGCCCCCTCCCCCCACCCCCCTGCTGCCCCCAGCAGGCCAGGCCTCCCGGCCTTTCTTCTAGGTTTCCACCTCAGCGAGGTTTTGTTGTTTGACGGGTTTTTAATCTCCGTTTCTCTGGCTTTGCGTTTAAGATCCTTCGGAATCAAAGAGATGTTAATTATGAAAGTGGGTCAAATTTGGTATAAATTAACACTTGATCATGAGGT